GTTTATACATAAGTGTCGTATTACTTATATAACTGCTTCTTTTCCTAACATGTGTTTTACTTAATGATTCTATCGTAGAGCGTAGACAAACTTCACTATGTTGTACGTTGTTTATTTCAAGTTCTGTAACTCAGGGCTTGTCTGTTTCTCAGTGCTAAAGTTTGGTACGTGATACCCCTTTTCGTTTGCCACTAGTTATTGTAACGAATATGCTGTATGTACATTCTGTACACATGTTCTACAATTAAAGTGATTTACCATAATCTGATCACTGCAAAATCTTCATTGATGTATGATTTGGTAGAATGAAACAAAAAACGCATTTATGTGATAAGCTTACCATTCTGTCGTGAACTTATTGAAGCAAAACATGTTTATGAAAGTAAAATTATTTTAACTTAGGAAATTTTCAGACAATAAGACTAAATGTTTAAATTAAGTTTGTAAATGTAGTCGAGCTAGTCACAACTGGATACTGTAATCTATTCATTTGTTAAATTGATTTTTCGTAATTTAATTCACCATTCTTTTTCTATTCGTTTCTATGGTAACAACATGTTTCCTAGAAGAAACGTGCATGGTAATGTAATCTTCTAAACCAAGAAAAAAAAACAACCAACAAAACCAAAACCAACGTTGAACTATATAATTTCCAAACGCTGACGTCGTTACGTTGAATTGAAAGTTTCTTTTCTTGTTAATGTAAAAGTGATTGCAATTGATCTGTAAGAATACAACCTAAAGGAACGGTAAAACAGTTATGTTGGAAACGTTTTGGCTTTTAGACGTATCTTTAGTTGGTGGAAAAAGATTTAATTTCGAATTGTTTTAATTCTCTCTCGTTCTATACTGTAAATCTCAAACAGATATACCCATTCTTATAATAAAGGAAACGATTTTCTGCCATAACATATTTAGCCCACTTCTTTTTTGATAATACAACTGAACCAATTTCTGAATAAAACAAAATTAATTTTCCAATCTAACGTTTAGATAATTACAGTAAAGCAAATTCCATATTACAAATGAAAAAAAACAACAACTATAAAACAGTAAGTACTTAATTGAATCACATGATGTAATATTTGACGGAAAATGTTTTTTGAAAAACAACAACAAAAAACATGTCAACACTGTTTACTTGGCGTTACGTTAGAATATTGTACCATACACAAGAGTATACTTACTCTTGACGCCTTGAGAGTGGTCTCTGTCATATTCTGTCTCAGAAAGTTCCTCTGGCTCAGATAAGTCTTTGAAATCCTTCAATATTGGCCTGTTATCAAGGATTACGTGAATTCCACTGGCATAAAAGGAAAAAAAAAGAGCATTTATTTCGAACATTATAAACCTTTCTAATCTTCCGTCACAAATATGTTGTCAATACTAAGTTTTTATTGAATGGGTGATGTCGGTAACATTTTACTTTGGCTTCGCAGCAAATAATATGATTTAATGGATCTATAGAAATGTTCTGTTCACTTGCAAATCGCCAGAAAAAACCTACATCCTCAAGTAGACAGTTTGTAAATGATTGTTTGTATGTTTGTAATTAAGCACAAAGCTACACAATGGACTATCTGTGCTCTGCCCACCACGGGTATAGAAACCCGGATTCTAGCGTTGTAAGTCCGCAGATATACCACTGTGCCACTGGGGGGGCGGCGTTTGTAAATGAATACTCAATAAGAAAACATTTCAGGCTAGATTAAGACAAGCTAGTTCACATTGCTAACGAACATCACAAAACTAGAAAACTAGTTGTGTGTTACTATGCAATATACTCGTATATACCGAGTATATCAATGATGATAATGATATGACATCCATTACATCAGCTTATCAATGTATTCTGAACAAAGCCAGCTAAGTAATGAGTTTAGTTAACTTAGCATGTCTTTCTTACTATATAGAAGTATGTAAAGTCATAAAATATACACTTATAATGCATTGATACATCAGTTCGGTACCCTTACTGTTAACGATGTTTTTGGTCGTAAAACGAAAGACCTAATTATGTTAACAATGCATAAAATACATTCCGGTACCAGAAAGTTCTATTAAGAGAACGAGAAAAATATAAAGTTTGTGTTATATATATTCCAAATACAACTGTTAAGCCTTATGCAAGAACAATGCGACAATTCCATTAAAATTACTAAACCCCAAGAGAAGCACAAAAGTAAGTGCTTCTACAATGATTTGTAATATACTTCTTCGCACGTGAAAATACTGATTTATAAATGTTAATTATCAAGTCTATTCTATTCCTTATTGGGTTATTGGATCATAATAATAAAAAAAATGATTGTAACTTATATTGTCTACGAAGCTCATAAATAATTATCTAATTATCTGTCTACAAACCTGTTTCTTTTTTTAATACATCTAGCCCAAGCAGATGGTTCAGAAGTTTCGCGCAAAGCAACACAAAAGGATCTCTGTTTATAGCTGCCCCTGTCTCTAACTTTAAACTGATACATTACAAGGATGGCCACCAGTCAACAGCACCCTCTTATTACTCTTATCTGACTAAATACAGGGATATGACTGCCACTTTTACAGCGCATCAGGATTACAAAGTGTAGGGCTTGCTTTTACGGCAACGATATGCGAAATCTAATCATAGATCATCGAA